TGTAGACGTATCTTGAATTTCGAGAATCATCACGTTTCATTGTTGCATCTTCAAGCAGTTATGAAGAACTGTCTAGAAAGAAAAACTGATTCAGGAGGCTAGACTGCATATGATAAAAACTTGAGTATAAGTATGTATATCCAACCAGCATTCTCTTTCAAAATTGGCAATGACTACTCCAATGATTATTGCTCATTATCCGATGTAATTGGTTCATATACAATAATTTGAAAGTATAAACGGACGCACCTGTTGCTCTCTTCCAATCATAAAACTTGATAACGTTATATAAAACAAGAACTAGAAGTATGATTATTGCAATTAGTTTCAAGTAGAAATAACAGACTCCTGCATGTTACAATAATATTCCTAAGATTGTCCATCAATGATATTGACTGAAGAATACAATTTCTATAATCAGAATGATTCATAGAGTATTGTTAGTTTATATAATCAAATAATTTATAATTCCAATCAAAGTCTGTGGAACGAAGGATATAGATTTCTAAAATTGTTGTTTTTTGTTGTAGACCATTCATACATACATCAATAATTCTTTTTTTGAATGACTTCTTGATGAAAAACTCCACAAACAATTATATTCCCAAAAAAATTCATCAACACACACTATACTTATATTCAAGTTATACATATTATGTAACGCTAACGCTGCAGTTTAATCTGTTCATCAACCTTGTGCAATCAATCTAACTATCAATTACCTGTATAGGTAGCTTCAAGTCAGAAAACATGCAGAATAATTTATATCTACATATACAGGGTGGTTCAAGATTCAGAATTCTGATCACCCTGTCAGCAATAACCTTTCTTGGAAAAATCACGTGAGGTCAATTGCTGAAAGTGCATCCCAAAATCTTGGTTTTCTGTTTCGAGCCAGGAGCTATTTCACTTTCAGTCAGCTGCTTATGTTCTATAAGGCATATATCCTACCTGTCCTGAAATACTGTTCCCATATTTGGAGTGCAGCACCCAAACATACCCTGAAACTGTTGGCTCACAAACTCACTCACTTCTCTGGAACACCGTAGAAAAGTTGGCGATCTGACTCTATTTTATAGATATTATCATGGACGATGCTCTTCTGGAATATCAACAATTGTTCCTTCCTTGGCAGTCTCCGTGAGATTAACCCGTCGAGTTGAAGCATCGCACCCCTTCGTGGTCACTTCGGAGACCTGCAGAAGATCTCTTTCCAAAGACTCGTTCTTCCAACGAACAGCGAGGCTCTGGAACACATTGCCACAAGGAAGGTGTTCCCAGAGGCATATAACCTCCAGAAATTTGAGAAGATCACCAATTACTACCCTATTTTCCTTGGTTCTCACGATGTTCTTTGAACATTACAGGATATCCCTTTTCGTGGGAACCAGAACTCAAATTAAAAAATCTCGATTTTGAACACCCTATATCTATGTAATCAGTCCCGCTAGACACCAAGTGTGATGCATTGATGAAAGCAGCTCTTCAGGGCGAATCAAAAAATTCAATGAAATACAGGGTGTTCCATATGAAAATCGAAAGTTGATGCCCGTTACGCTCCAAGGTTTCAACTTTGTAATATATGATAATTGCAGAAAAATGTGTCCCATGTCAAATTGAAATCGACTTGTTCGAGCAATTTTCAGTTTTTTCAACTACATCGGCGATTTGGGGGGTAACAAAATCTAGCTGGGACACACTGTATATAAGACCAATCCAATCGGAGTGAATTGATTTGAATTGCATTGTCAACAATAATGTCACAAGTGATTTAATTTTGACGATCATTCCACTAATTTCAAAATACACGTTTACGATTGGTTGAAATATCCGTGTTGATAATCGGAAACGATGTTCTGGTTTTTGTGTTTCGGCTGTAGATTGGCTGTTAGATACCTAAACATGACGTGTTTTCGATTTTGTATCAGACTTCCTCATTAGTAATTTGATCAAAATATTGAATAACATCACTATGAAGCAAGCTATCATGGACATGAATGTCATAATAATTTCATATTCAGGGATAAGTAGCACTCAACACTAAAACTAAAATTCATACAAAATGCTCATAGGCACCGAATTCAAATTTGTATCGAAAAATTCCAGACCAACTTTGTATGATCACATTTTAAAGAAACATTTTTTTTTATCACCATCAACCATCGCTAACATTAATCTGGCACTGTAGTTGAAAACTAATAATAATTTCAGCTTATTTTGATTCACTCTATTGTGTCTTTTAATGCATAAGGTCATTATGAAATAGAACGACGGATGTATATACCACGTCTTTCAATATGTCGGCGAAGAGGTCGGAACTGGTAACTGGTGTTCTCTTTTGATACCTGTTTATATCCTGTCAATAGCCATTCATGGTCACCCTATATGAAATAAAAAAATAATATAGGGCATTTTTTATTTTATTCCGAAGACACAGATTGCACTAAAGATATTCTGTATATTATACGAGTGTATTATTTGATAACGCAGAAGCCTATTTATAATGAGGAAGAAAGAATGTAGGTACAGTAATAAAAATTATAAATGTAAGTTCTCATATCTCCAGAAACAGTTATGAATTATACATGATTTCCCACAATTATGATATGTAGGAAAGGAAGACAAACCTTGTGTTATGCTGAATGAAATTGCAAGGAAATCGTGTTCAACGGTAATGACAGGATCTGTTGATTCCATAGTTTGAGTATAATATTAGCTGTATTAACCATAAGGGAACTGAAATCAAATATCCAACATTTATTCATTAAATAAGCATTAGGCGGTGCAAACTTCAAGGTTAAATTATGTTTTTTTTTTTCAGAAGATGTATAATGATACGGCAAGAGTAAGAATAAATAGGATTCAACAGATTTTATCAAACTTGTATTTTATTTCGTGTGAAAAATGACAAATACCCATGGTTGTATTTTACTTGATGAGGTGAAAATTCACGGAAAGATTAAACTTATTATCATATCGCACACACAGTATTCGACGATAACCAAAAATTGATATCTTTCAGAATGTAAATTTTTGATGGTACTCACACCGGAAGGTTCATGGTATTGTGATAACTTGGTGACTATAACATTAAGTAGACCTACATTATTTTCAATTTAGAACTTCAGTACTAAGAATGTCTACCTGCAGTACCTGCCTTGAGTTATTTGCCATTTGCCACATTCAAGTGTTCGAAATTTGTCTTGTGGATTTCCGGTTAACTTTAGATAAATATTTTAACTAATTGATGATAAATGACAATAGAAAAAAAAGACAATGTTATTGCTGCTTGTTTACAGGATATCCAGGTGTAGTGGATTAGTGGAATGATATAGGAATATTTGCTTGATTGAGAGGATTGATGTTAATTTTTCAAAAAAGTCACGAACTAATTAAAACTTTCCCTGATGAGGAAAAAATGCATAATTACCTTTGATTTACACTATATATTAAGTAGAAACTAAAAAATTCGTTGGCATTAGGATAACCGTCCTAAACAAAATACAACCGTGGAGCGCACACAGGCGGAGAAATTATACTTTTCTAATCAGGGTTCCTAGAAAGTACTAAATAATTTGTTCATGTATATATTATTGTTCATTCAATCAATAGTTCCAGAATGTTCTGCGAGAATTGCACGTTCGATTTGAGAATTTTTAAAAAAATTAAAACTTTTTGTTGCGGGTTTTGTTATTTTGTCTTTCTTAGTAGATTAAGAAGTCCGAAAATCGTTTGTTTTGTCAGTGGATATATAACCAATTTCGAATCATCAATCAATCTGAAAAATCAACAATTGTTACCTCCCTTGGCAGTCCCCGCGAGATCAACCCGTCGAGTTGTGGCTTCGCACCCCTCTTCGTGGTCACTTTGGAGACCTTCAGAACATCTCTTTCCCAAGATTCGTTCATCCAACGAACAGCGAGGCTCTGGAACACATTGCCAAGGAAGGTGTTCCCGAGGCATATAACCTCCAGAAAGGACCCGCACTTTTTTTATATAGAAATGGCGTTCTGTCGAATTCTCTGAATTTCTGGTATATTATACAACTCGACCGAATGATCAAATATGCCGCGTTCCAATCCGATCCTATGACCAGTTTTCGAGATACAGGGTGTTGAAGTTGAGAAATGCCCCCTTTTCATCTACCCATATCTCCAAGAAAAGACAAATGAATCAGAATTTTCTGCTAGCAGTTTTTCAGTTTAACCTTGGGAGTAGGTATGACGGTACTTGAGCGAGACATGGGCGGGGCCTAGCAGGTGGGGCGGAGCTTGGAGGGGAGGGGGGGGGGTGAGGTGGAGCTTGGAGGGGGGGTGGGGTGGAGCTTGGAGGGGTGGGCGGAGCTTGGAGGGGGTGGGGTGGAGCTTAGAAGGGGCGGTGTCTCACAGGTGCGGGAGTGGGTGGTGCTTGGCCTTGATTGGACGGGTATGGGAGCTTGGATTTGATAGGCCTAGGAGATATATTGAGAGTAATTGACGTGGACGTAGGGATGTGACCTCGAGTTGATTGGTTATGGGTGGTCATATGAGATGAAAATGAATATCAACATGGAGAGAGGGTTAATGGCTGTTTGGAGGTGTGTTTTTGAGTGTATCACTTGCACATTGGCTTGTGGGTGTGTTATATGCTGTGTACAACTGCGCGATTGGGCAGGGTGTCGCTGACATGTCGGTGACATAAAAATGAAGATTTCCGGGTGATTGTAGTTTCTATTGGATGTTGTAGGCGTATACTTCATTAACCGCATTTTGCTCGTATTTATATGAGACTTTCAGTATGAATAATGTGATTCGATCAGAGAGAAATGAGAGGTGGGGCAGCAAGCACGTATCCATCAACTCTCATTGGTTGAATTGGTAAATTTCCAAGTCGAATGGTGAGGTGGGGGCACCACCTCATATTATTGGTTGAGTTTACATCGAGAAAGGAGTTATCACTCACCTGAGCATCGTCGAATCAGCATCAGCAGCATAGAATGTTTTTCCCCATGAGAGGGGTGTTCAGGCAGCTGGCATTGCTTCTCTGCTAGGTACGTTCAATTCATCAGCACCAGAATCAGCATTTTTCTTCTCGCACGTGTATTTTACGGTTTTCCAAATATATTCATCACCCTCTTTTTCTCTCTCTCCCTCCCTCCCTCCCTTCCCTCTCCATGAACAATGTGGAGAACATCTCTATCGAAAACAAAATAATGAACAACACTCACTCACTAATTCGACATACGCTTCAGACCTGCGTATACACATAGTGCACCATAGTGGGATGAAACGAAAACAACAATGAGAATTATGGAAATATTACAGCACATAACGACGTGACCTTGTTGACTGACTGACGTAGACTGACGAAATCACCTCGGCTACATCTGATTTGAGCAGTTTGGGTATGCGTGCGCACTTCACAAGGATAAGTCGAGCATTCACGAAGAAACACGATGATGATTATGTCTCTATTTGCCAATCCTGCCACTCCTGGCAACAAACACTCCTGCCACCTGCCTCTCTACCAATCAGACTCACCTGGTATCTACCACCCCTGCCATCAGACCCACCTGCTACCTGCTACCTGCTACTCCTGACACCTGCCACTCCTGAAGTCTGCCACTCCTGACACCTGCCACTCCTCAAATCTGTCACTCCTGACACCTGCCACTCCTGACAACAAATACTCCTGCCACCTGCCTCTCTACCAATCAGACTCACTTGCTACCTACCTCCCTTTCCACCGAACACTCCTGCCATCAGACCCACCTACTACCTGCTACCTGCCACTCCTGAAGTCTGTCACTCCTGCCACCTGCCACTCCTGCAACCTGCCACTTCTTCAACCTGCCACTCCTGCCATCTGCCACTCCTGCCACCTGCCACTCCTGACACCTGCCACTCACCTGCCACTCCTGACACCTGCCACTCACCTGCCACTCCTGACACCTGCCACTCCTGACAACGAATACTCCTGCCAGCTGCCTCTCTAAAAATCAGACTCACTTCCTACCTACCACCCCTGCCACCTGCCACTCCTGCTACCTGCCACTCCTGATACCTGCCACCCCAGAAACCTGAAATCTGCCACTTGTGCCACCTGCCACTACTGATGGATATCATTCCTGCTACCTCCGATTGAATTCACGCTTGGCACAGGAGCGCACGAAGGAAAATTCCTATAATATTCTTCGTGCGATGTGAAAGAGATCGCAATACTGTGCATACTCGGTGGTGCTTATCGCTACCCATCTTCGCCATATCTTCTTATTCAGTCTGTATCTATGTAACATGACGTTGCATCAAGTGGACGAATACAAGAGAATCGATGGTGTCATGGAGTGAGTAGTAATGATACACAAAGTCGAAACTCAACTGTTTATTTCATCATATATGCATGTTGTTATATCACCTATAACATGTTTAATTTTACATAAAATACAACAACAACAAAAATTGAAGATATATATAGTATCTAATAATAATTCAACATATAGAAGATATTAGCAAAACTATAACATAAAAGTGATACATAAAATATTAAAAATATATTAATGATACAGCTCAGTCACATATAAGAAGTTGGGAGAACTATAACAGGAAAGTGACATGCACATAAAATAGGTATGAAGACAAAAAAAAAAGTATAATACAGCATGGTACGATACGTTATATTTATATAGAAAAGAGTTCGTCATACCCAGATTATTGTTGAAATATGGATAACTATTATGGAATAATCATAAATAAACATTTATCGAGTATGAACACTTGATCTATATATATGGGTAATCGGCTAAGGTCCTTTAGCCACGTGGATAATTATTTCTTTTCTTTCTTGAACCCGTACGGAACAGAGCTGCCATCTTCGAAAAATCGTCTTTTTGTTGAATGTGGGCGATACATTTTAATTTCATCTCGCGTCACTACCTCATGCTCTTTGCTACGCCGAATCACCTTCGATGTGATGTAGATTGCATCACTGGGCGTGAGTATCATTTCTTGAATTTTTTCAAAGTTGACGAGTTGTGATGCAGCATAAGTGAGGGAAATGCCTTTCACCTTACAAACCACATCCTCACACTGCTTATCTGTAGACCATATCTTGTAGGCATAGTTTTTGGGGCCTCCCGAAACAAAATTGGTAATATAAGAACCTGGACCATACGACTCCAACTCGTCTGTCATATCTCCTATGAATTCCCCTGTTGGGATATCGAATTCACCAGCTCTAGACACATATATAACCGAGTCAGTATCATAGTATAACACCCGTTCATCAAGTTCTTCGAGGTAGCTATAGAGTTTGAGTCGGGCCTGTGTTGTTACATATGCTGCTATAGCTACATTTACTCCAGTCAACACATCATATGACTCGTCAGTATGCTGATAGCTTACGACCAATGTGTTGTCATTTATCGCTATCGTGTTATTCACATCTATAGATGGACTAGTCATCATTTCAAAGAACTCACTGGGTTCGTTCACAATTTTTGTTCTTGGCTGATTCTCCCTCTGGCCAAACTTACCCCAAAATGAATTGAGGATGAGTTTTGCCAAAGAGCGCAGCCCTGGGTTCTCAAAAATTTCTGCAAATTCCAGTTGAACATCTTCTCGATCGAGAAATTGTTCGATATACAGTTCTTTTTCTACTGATGAGCAGCAGTTCTTCGGCCAACCTGAAGCTTGTTGTTTTATCTGTATGAATTTGTTCATCATATCTGTGAACAATCCAGCTGTTCTTGTGGCTTTGTCAAATTTTTGTGTTTTGTAGCTCCATACCTCATGTACTTTTTTCAATTTATATCCCATTTCTATAGCTTTCAATATCTCATCAGTCACCCATGTACCTGTCAGTACTCTTTCTTCTTCATTATGTGAACAAACTGAATTCAACATTTGCTCTCCACAGGTTCGACATAAAACGAACATTAGTTTGTTATTCATTTTCTGAGGTAGAACCGGATGACGGAGGTTTTGAGGCGGCAGCAATGTACATTTGATTAAACCATCGATGGTTCTCAAGTCGAGCTTGGAACACTCCTCCCCCACAAAAACATCAGGATGTCCAATAGGGAATTTTCCATATTTACATGCCCAGGGGTATAAGGAACATACATCGACGTACTTTATTTTTTCGTCAATTTTGCACTTGTAATGTTCGAAAGTGTTGCCAGTTCTGCCGCCGTAAAAAGCGTCTCTAGGATTGAGTGGTAACGTTGCAAGTAAAGGATGATTCACAGTGAAAGTGTTTATTTCTTCATTAGATGCCATATCTCGCCTAAAATCACATTCCCACATCTCAATTACCTCGTACTGGAACTCACGTAATCTGTCTGTCTTCGCTACTGTAGATTCATATCTTAGATTCATTGTTTCAGTTTGGTTATCGAGTAAGGGCTGATCTCTCTGGAACTTATAACATTTAGGGCAACCGTGCCAGTAGCACCCATGAAATTCGAAGATTTGATTGGTTTCAGTGCAGAAACCATCAACCTTGACACCTCGTATACTGGCTTCTACTTGTTTGGCTGCATGTATAATATTGATGCTCCTCTGTTGTTCTTCCCATACTAGCCATTGGATACCGATCTCCGATTGATTATCGCGCCATCTATAACCATTTTTTGGAATTATTCCAATGGTGTTGGGCTGCATAAAGTTGCGACGATAAACCTTGTTACAAGCAGAGGCGATGGTACAAGCTTCGGTGAAAGGGCAAACATTGGTGGTATCTAGGAGCTGTTGACGGAATTTGAGGCTGGCTGCTGCTAATATTTCGACGTCCGAGATACAGTAGTCTACTATATCGCGTCGCATATTGAACTCATCGTTTTTATGTTGTTCAAACCATGCGAGGAATACATTTCTATCATCTTCGCGCATAGTGTCTGGGCTATAATACTCAAGAGCAGGTAATACCCCCACATAGTCTCGATTCTTTAAAGTATTGAAAAGATGTGGAAAATAACCTTTCTTGAAGTTATCACCCAGTCCAAATGCTTTTGGCAATTTTGAGAGAGCCATCGGAAAATAATTGAGAGAATCAAGAAACTTGACATTTCTCACGGACATCATAATTATCTTCGTTCCCCTCATGATAAGTTCAGGTTTCAAGTCTGTTTCAGTGAGAATATAATTCAAAATGAAATTATGGTCATAGCCAGAACCGTTGTGCGCTATCACGACAACTTGTTTGAAGATTTTCCTTTGGTTCATCACGAATTCTGTAAACCGTTCTATGGGATTGGTTTCCAGGATATGAAGGCGTACACCGCATTTTGCACATCGTTGTGAATCTTCACCCAAACAGACGTCACAACATTGTTTGAATATGCAAAGGCTGGGCTCATGAAGTAACGATCCATCATCTTGAATCCTTTCTTGTCGCGTCTCTAAGTCGTAAAAAATAAACAATGTATCTGTCAATTTAGGAAGAGTAGTGTCAGGTTGCATGAAGCACAAATGTCCACTGGGGTTGAATGTTTTGCATATCTTACAGAATACTTCCCCACAAGTGTGTTGTCTATCACTGTTGACAGACTTGAAACATTGCTCGCAACGTCGAATCTTTTCACAAACACTATTCTTGCCCATCAATGTTTGATGATTTTCATAGCATTTGGTGCCTCTAAATGTTCGCTTACACTCGTTACACTTCACCTTCTTCTGATCTTGCTGACACGCTGGAGACTGCTGACATCCTGGACATGTACCGCCGCATCTATGTCTATTTTTATTATCATATGGTATGTGACACCGCTCGCAATAATAACTGCAACAAAAAGCAGCCGTGAGGGAAGTGATAACGTTATAATGTCCCTCATGATGAAGCAGGTTGAGACATTTCCCCTCTGCGGGACCTTCAAAGATAACGTCACGACCCTTATTGCCATATTTGTAAATTACGATTCTGTAATTTCTGAGGAATTGTTGGAACTGTTGTACCTCAAGTATTCCGCCTCCCTCTTGAGGAATTGTGACGTTGGCATCCTTCATCAATTGGAGAGCCCTTTGTGTTTGGACCTTTCCGATATCACTACGCACTCTACGGTAGTCGGGGTCCTTAGTGATAGCAGCTGTAGCGACGACGAGAGCACGAGGTAAACATAAATTGTCTTTGTTAACTATAGCAATGATCCCCCTTCGCATCCTACATTCTTCCTCAAAATTATTATAGTTTCGGCCCTTTCCTTTACCAGTTGGCATTCGAACAGAAGTGACACTCAAACAAAAAGTATCAGTATTCAAGCCAGTAGAGTTGGATTGGTAGATGCTTGCAATAACATCCCACACATCGTCAAAAGTCACCTCCTCTAGGGATTTAAATTTAATCCATCCATCACCTTTGGCAAAGTCTTTCGAACAAAAAGAAAACCCAACTTTGTCAGAGGATTTGAGGTCTTCGGTAGCCTTTTGGACCACTTGCTTGACGGCTTCTCTGACCCAACCAACCGGTTCGGCATTTTGTGGCACAGATTTGAGATTGAACTCCAAAGTACGCCCCTGGAGGTTGAATCGACGGACTGCTTTTCGGTAATCTCTGGTGATGATGAACTTCTCCATGATGAGAAAGAAATATAGATGGTTCACAAGAGCTAAGAAACGTCCGACTTGTTCAGCGAACTTCAAAAGACTGACTGATCGACTAGTCGATGTTCTTTTTATACCAGTAGAATGAGTAATCTGCGGTGAGGAGGAATCTGAAACAACGTGAAGCCATCTATCGTCATCATTGAACTAGCTACTGAATCAACAATGATTGCTCTTCAATAGTCCATCAGTGTCTCTCAGAGAAAGTGTATTGTGATTGATTTAGCAAACTATTGTTTCCATCGAAGGCAGTTTGAGAATGATATCATCATGCATTTCGTTGTTTTATCGGATGAAAATGAGTACATAGTAAAGGACGATATCAACAGGACTCCTAATGGATATCTCATATTCATCTATATTTTTGTATGCTTGAGAGAAAAAAAAACGATCGCCAATAAGAGGAGGGGTTAATTACCTAAGTTACGAGATTTCGAATTTTGAGAAAAAACTGCTTCGTGAAGGTTAGAATGGAATAAATATCATTATTTATAACTATATTTTTATTGGGAGACGAGATGAAAATATCAAATATAAAGATCATTCATTTGAAAATGAATCTGCCACTAAAGTGTTTCATAGTGAGTTTCCGGGAATTCCGTTTCGTCCTTGCCAGAAATAGTTTGGAAATTATATTTTTATACTTCAAACTCCTGTTTGAATTTATTTTGCCGTTTTCTTCATACAGTTGCTTGTGAGCATTACTCAGAAGCAATATCATTTTATAGCTGCTCATATCCTCAGTGCTATATTTGGTCGGCTCCCTCTTGAATAAAAGGCTGATGAGTCCCGTAGTTTGTTTGAAACGCCTGTTTCTTATTGATATATCCCCATTCTCAAATTCAATCAGTTCTTTACCAATTATCAATTCACCGAATTCACCGCCTCTTCGAACACCGTAGACGGCATCATGATCGGGCCCATCACAAAATAAAGTATACCAATCATTATTTCTCTTTGTTATATATTTCTCCGACATTATGCTATTCGATCTGTACTCTTCGAATGCTAGCGTGTTAATGACATTTTTAATGATACTTCCCACTTTTTATACTAAGTTAGCCGCAGCCGACAATATACTAGTACAGAACACCCCGCCATTGTGACTCAGGCGAGCTCAGGTAACGGCTCAGTTGCCACATCCGAAAGCACAGCAAGAAACAAACGCTCCCTCACATAACACAAACGCTCCACCTACGTGACTCAAACGCACCGCTTACTGAACCCTAACGTTCCATCTTGGATTATTTTTGAATAAAACCATGATATAACATAACTAACACATAACTAAAACAGAATAGAACGTACTACTATAAACAATGGTCATTGCGGAATTTGACCGACAACGCTTGACAGGTGATAATCCTCACGATATCATAATGACCGAGATAGAGCCATATGTCTCCAAGTGTTCGTTTTTTTTTTCGAGATTACAAGGTGTTGAAGTTGATGAATTAACATATGTTTTTTTTTTTTAGTTCAAATATACGAATTTTTCACAAAAGGGGAGTTTGCTGTACCTATTCGTCTACCGATAAAATATAAGGAGATTATTTCATTATTTCGGAACTTTTCTGTTAAATTTTTTTTATACAAAAAAAAACACATAACGTACAACTTTAACCCAACGACTGCGGTATTCGAAATAGTTGACCTCAAATGAATAATATCTGGAAACATACATTTTCCATCATTGTCAATGCAAGAACATCATATTAGTATTTTTCAATGTGGTAACTTCATGGTAAGGTTCTTCTTGGCTCATTTCATTTTTCTGAACGAGGGTCGCCATTTTTGGAGGATATAAATGATTTATCACATTGAAAAAGGCCTATGCCAGCATTATTGGGGTAAAGATCTAGCGGTTGATTTCAGGTACGTTGAAGTTGAAGGAAAAATTAATCACTTCCAAAAAAAAAAAATTTTCAGCTGTGAAGCGTTGTCAACATGTCAACGGTTTCCACCAAAATAGCGATTGTAAATGTCATATATATCATCATTTTCATAACGCCGCTAGAAACAGTTTATTTTTTTCATATGCTATTTAGTTCGCACTATACAGCGATAAACCACTCGTACTAATATACAGGGCGAGTCAGTTTTTTTTTCATAGCAAGACTTCAGTAGCTCGAAGAAGACACTATTTCGCGTTAAAAATCTCAGACTTTTTCGATATACAGAGGTTCTGAGATTTCTATATAAACAGTGTCACTCATGAAGTTTATTTTGGAATTCGACTTGGGCAATGAGTTTTGCTTCGAAAAGAATGAAAAATGTCCTGTCCGGTTGGAGTCACTTTGGTTACGTGTCAAAAATAATTTTATTTTCAAATTAATCGATGAAAATATATACTTATTCGATTGAAATTCAAAGAAAAAGAAGTTACTGTGAAATGTTGTTCCTATTCCAATTTTACACATGTGGCTCGAATTTTAACGTTCTTTTGCAACTTTTAGTTGTGGGATATGTTTTTTTGTTTCTTTCAATTAACATCGAAAAAACTGTCCTAAACTTTGGTTAGACATGTAAAGTAGTTTGATGATATTTCAATAGATGACTCTGGCATCATTTCAGTACTGGAAAAACGATTGAAATGAGTTTCTTTCCTGAATGATGGATGATACATCAACTTCGCATCAAACATAACAGAAATTTGAAGCAAGGATTATCATTTTCTGAAGAAAATCATATTTTCGTCGATAATAATTAATGATTGGAAGTTGGTAGCATGATAAAGCTACTGAAATGAAATGGTTTTGTTGGTGTCAATTTTTTTTTTTTAATATTATTGACATTTTATTGTAGGTGATATTTGAAAAAATATCAAATAAAAAGGTTGTAATGGAAAGATTAAATTCAAGATACATGAATTGAAATAGAAACAACTTTTCTCAGTGAACTTCTTTGAGAGTCAAACAAATAAGCCTATTTTCTGTGGTTGATTTGGGAAAATGTTACTTGACATGTAGCGAAAGTCACGTGACCTCGGCCAAGTAATCTATTTTTCATATATCCTAAAGCAAAACTCAACGCCCAAGTCGAATTTCGGAATAAATCATTATTAAAAGTTTTTCCCACATGATGCCAACTTTATGAATGACACTGTATATTTCCTATGTTTTTCAAGTATTGCCACTAAGTTTCATCATACATCCTATGAAAGCTTCTTATCATTCTAGGTCTTCCGTCAATTATTGAGAAATGTCAAATAGAGTGTGTTCGGAAAATGGAGATTTATCACAGCAGGTGAATTATTTTTTTTTTGCAATTTTCTTGAAATCTATATAAATATATCTATATTTTTTTCAAAACGTATAAGTGACCAGAGAATCTATATTATTGTTTCATTGGCAGCAAAGGCAGCAGCAAGCAATAAAAGTTCAAAAGGGTTGAATTGGGGTACAACCTCCATAAGTGTATCACCCTGTAGATAATCGAAATAGCCCAATAGTCCAAAATATTGAGTTTTTCAAGTATAATAGTTATATCAAATGTTGACTCACTATCTTGAAAATTGTAGAGAAAAACTTGAAAAACTTTGAAAATATCTCGAACATTGACTCCCTGTCTATCGGAAACTAACTTATATGTTCATATGAACATAAAATATGTGTTCGCTGTTGATTTGAGGAACGTTGAAGAGGAAATCAATCACTACAACACCTGCAACTAGGTATCTACTTGAGTTAGTAATATTCTCACCAAATTCTTTATCATATATGATCAGTGTTATCGATAGTATCCGTTGCGCTTTCTGAGCGTTTTGAATATTTGCACTTATTCGATCCCATAGTATAGACTTTTCTTGAAATATGACTACCCTGGATGACCTGTGTTACTGACAAAACTCATCAGATCGACATACTTAATGCCTGGATTTCCAATCTGAATGTCTTGTCTTGAATGGATTATTTTTTTTGTATAATATACATAATCCCCATAAATATATCAATGTTTTGAGACAAGGTCCTCAGTTATTTTTGTCAGAATTATCGTGAATGTCCCGAAAGTAGCATATCCTGACCTATGCTCGCACAGATTGTTGAAAAATATTTCGATGGGTTGTACAATTTTGTTTTTCTACGCCCATCTCTGTAAATGTCAAAAATCGCACTGTCAACATTACTACTTGTGAATGACATTTAACAATAACATGCACTTATTGAGATCTCATAACATACGCGTGCGTTTTGAGAAGAAAACTTGAACTTCTTGGTTTAAATTACCATCAAATTCTCATTTACGTGAGACTTTATTTGGTCTATTTACACAGATTCAGTCAATTAAAAAATCATGAAAACTTTCAGCATTAGCAAGATATTATGTAGGATTGAAAGAGTGATGCCCCTAAATGCAGACTGCATGTTATGCAAATCCTTGTAGCATGCTATGAAAATAAATGTCATTTATATTCCACTACACCGTTTTACTACTAACCAAACCGATTTTTCAATGCCTATATATGTCATTTATATTGTCTATTTTTCGAAAAAATAAAAATATATATTTGTATTCAAACATTTTCTCAACTTTATCTACGAATATGTCTGATGATAGTGAAAGTGATGGAATCATGAGCACTCCACCGGAGATTTTTAGAAAAAGCTCAAGCTGCCACACATGATTTGTTACCGCTAATAAATATCAATCTTCTGATGTACCGAGCAGTACTACAATTTTAAATAACCGGTCACCACCATCGAATAATAAGGCACAATCGAATTACAATAATTATTGAATTGTTATGAACAACTATTATAATAAAGTTCGAATGATTGCGATGTTTTTCATTTGATGGAAGGAAATGAATGGGCGTAGAAAAAGTATAGTACGTTTCACGTATCGTAAGCCCATTACGCACTCATGAAATTTATGCATTCGCCGCTGCGCGGCTGCGTGCAAAGACTTTTTCATTCAATCGACTGTGAAGCACTATTTCGCCGTAGAATTCAGAATACTTCGAAGAAGGAAGAGGCTCTCAAAGTCAACATGACGTTCTGTGGTGAATTTGCTGAGTTCGCAAGTTGCTTGACAAAATACAATTCGATGCAATTAACCCCGTTTCATTAATTTTTAGAATTAACACAGGTTCCTCCTTAATTCCATGAAGAATAGTGAACACATCACTAGTTTTGTGAACTGAAAAGCGTGTTGTAAGTTTTTTTTTTATTGAAATCCACAAGCTATAGCTGCTCAATGGTGAGTTTTGGTATAGAGCTAATAAGTCTGGACAAATCATTTTCATTATTGTGATTTCAGGAATTCGTGATATCATTTCAACAGGTATATTTCAAGGGAATCTGTTTGTTTGAGAATGAAGAAAATCATTTAGTATGTGAATCAAATGATGTTTTGAAGATATTATCAGTCTCATATACAGGGTGGCATTGAAATAAGTGCAAATAATTCATGCCTTGAGTAAGATTGACGTATACTATCTAGTGATACCAATAAAAAATATAGGGATCAGAATAAAATTTGAGGTTAGACCCATTTTTCGACCCAAAGTTCCACACTGACGTCACCTCTGTTCAAATTTTCGTGCGGAAGGCAGAATCACGCGGATTTCAATCATTTAAATTGTTTTATAGTGGCGTACTCAATTCATTTTTGTTTTCTGTTCAATTTTCGGATTGAAAGTTTTTGTTATTTGAAAGAATTAGGAAAACTCTGATATCATGCGAATGCGTTAGACTGTATCATATCGATGTGTTGATTATATGTACTTATTTCAAAAACACCTTGTATATGATAACCTGATAGGAGGCAGTAGATTTCGTTGATTTCGAAACAAAAAAAAACAAATTGGTAGAGTACAGATTGTTGAATTACTCTTCGGGATGTATGTACCCTTTTGCATGTCAGGTGCTTTTTACTGAAGGGTCAGATGAATATCCTACCACCATCAGTCATACGCTATTTTTGATTATGTTTCTAGTGACAAAAAGTGATACATTTCAAAGTTTCAGCCAGTTCGAA